ATTGATCATTCGCCCAAAGCCTTTATTATATATTTTTGATTTATTTTACAATTTCTAATATGGTGGTGTTGCTTAATAATTACAGTATCATATTCTTTCTAAATAGCTATCTTTGATGCCAAGTTTATTTGGCATTTTGAATGACCTCTGTATATTTTAATGACAGAAATATATCACCTGGTGAAACTTCATATAACAAAACTCACAATATGAGAGTTTAATATTAATAAATTAATAAGATTACCGACATTTTCAATTCTCAATATCCGACCACAGATATATGCTATAAACTTCACTTAAGTTTCTTATTAATATTTTTATTTTATGTTCACTACCATGTAGTACAAGAAATTGTTCACATTATTATATAAAAATAAAATATTCATGGAGAAAATAACTTAAGGTAATCTTTCACGCAATAGCCAAACAGATGTATGTAGAGAATTCTAAAACTTCAAAAGTGTCAATAAAACAGACTTAACTGTCACTTAAAACTTTCCAGAAGTATTATAGATAAGTATTTTCTCTTTGAAAATTATTCAAAACATAAGGCTTATAAAGTTCTCATCTTTCTCTCATACTCCTGTTTTTATCTTTCCTAAGCAGTACACTTATACACACACACGCACACATCACAAAATGAGACAATAATGAAATATTGTTGACAAACAGTTCTCAATAACTAACATGCCTAAGATTTGTGATAAAAGTCACATTAACTTCAGATATTTTTTTTTTCAAAATTACTTTTAACTTTTCTATTACTGATTCAAAACCAGAAGTATTTAGAAATAGCATTTCAGATATAACTTCTACCTCCAACAAGTCACTGCTCAGTAGGACCCAAAAGAGAAATTTTGGCCCTGGTGCCTCCTACAACTCTGTAAAAGATTCATGGCATGAGGAGTTTCATTTAAAAAAAAAATCAATCTTAAGGAACCTCATACAAAATATTGGTGACACAAAAAATGTCAAACAAAATTAATCTGTAACTACAATAATGTCATTTATGATAACAGATTAAAAACTGGTTCTTAATCTTATAACACTTACCCTTCCATCAAACATTTCGCTATACAAGAGAAAATCTTCTCGTGCAATTCCAATCAAGGTCAGAGGATTACTAGGAGTGACACTTTGACTTGGATGTTTGTGACACTGAAGAGTCTGTCGGTGAAGAATTTCTTCAGAGACAGCATCACCAATTACCTTGGAAATTCCTATGTTAATTCCATTTGTGACAATCCACATATTTGTTGTGTTAGCAGCCTAAAAGTCCATAAGTTATGTAAGATAATACTGTAATAATATTAAGAGTATATATATAAAAAACACAGAAGGGGAATTGAAATTAAATATTTTATATATATGTTTATATACGTACAGAAAAAAAAACCAATGTTACCAATATTTATTGGTAACATTGCAAGGTTTCTGGCTAAACCAACGGGCCTAGCTTGACACCGAGTTGGTGGTTTTTAATACTTACTGGTCACATTGTAAAGTTTCTGGCTAAATCAAATGGTCTGGCTTGACACTGGGTTAGTGGTTTTTTAGCACTTACTGGTAATATTGTAAGGTTTAAAAAAACAAACAAAGATATTTCAAAAGCACTTGACCAAATATTTTGCTTTATTTTTGCATAATAGACGCCAAAAAATCCAAAGAGTTCAAACTTTAAAAAATGTCATATATTTAAAGAAACCTTAAGGTATCAAAAGAAGTGTATAGATTTACTTTAATAAAAAGGTAATTTCAGCTTAAAAAAATAGTGATTAAAAACTTAATTTTTTTTTTCTGTGAGTTTTATGAGTTCACATTATGAAGTCATTTACTCACATATCATTTGAGTTTACAAAAAATATAATACCAAAACATTCTTATGCACACTCCAGAGAAAACAATTAAACAAACAACTCAGGAGAATATTTACCTTGATTAACCCTTTCTGAAAATTTTCAAGTTGTCTGGAATTTTTCCAGTTTGTTAAAGGAGCCACATTGGATACTATTACCAATACAATGCGAGGATTGCTTAAATTCCAATCTTGATGGACGACCTCGGCAACTTCTTCCATGTTAACATCGTGGCTGACTCGAATGAATGGTCGACCCTGAGGAAGGTTAGTCCACGTGTAATTAGGTATAAAGGTTTGTTTTTTTATCTTTCATCTTTATCAACTGTAAACCAATAACTGTACGTTTACGTTTACTTTTTTTCCAGACAGAGTAACACACACATACTTTAGTGAAAAACAATGGCAATAAAGTTCATGGCAGTTAATCATTTCAGCAACAATTTGTCAATCTCACGAAAATATCAGAATCCTTATGTAGATTTGAGTTTTGTATAGTGTCCTTAATCCCAATCAATCTGTAATTACACATTACTCTGTTGTTGGAAACAGAAACAAAAGAGGAACATTTAACACTTAAAACACGATAAGTTATTAACTACAACTTAGAAAAATTTACCGTGTCACAACTGATGAGAAATAATAGTATAAAGATATATATATATATGTTCTTTAAGGACTGATATTTATAATGAGCCAAATTTAATGATACGACCAGCATCATATGCACGTTCTGTGTTGCCCTTTTATGTCTCTGACTTTGCAAGTAATCTTTGTGAAACTTACCTTTTGGAACACCAAAATACAAGTGAACTCCTTGTAGAAGTTTTACATTAAAAACAACAAAATTAATCTAAAAAGTCTTTGCTACTTATATATCATGTTGCTCCTATTACAGAAGAAACATTATTTACAGGGTGTAAATGTTACAGCTGAACTTGTATTTAGACATATTCTGTTTTATAAGATGACCAGTTTCTCAGTTAATGTTATATTATACAATTTTAACTCAAAACAATAAATATTTTGTTTTCGTTCAAAATTTGTATTGCATACTGGAGGGATGTAGACATCTTGGCAATAAAGTTAGAAAAAAATTAACTTTACTCTCTAGATGATAAAAGAAAATTTATTCATCATGAACTTCTTGTGCAACTAGCCCTGATGAATCCACAATGGTGAAACTCTGGCAGAAAATATAGTTGTTTTATTATTATCTGTAGAGTAAAAGCCTGTTTTTTTTTCAAACTTTATTCCCAAAATGTTTAAAAACAATAAAATAATCCTTGTCCTAAGCTCAACTTTGAAGAAAGGAAAACTGAAGTAAAAACCAAATAAAATATTTATTGACAACGGCAAAAGAAATTAGTTTGAGTTGAATCTAATTAAAATCATACTATTTGTTAGAGAAGTTTAAAACACAAATATACACAAAATGAAAATTAAAAAACAACATATTTCATTCAGATATTCCTTTAAAAGTGAATTTACAAATTTCCAGAATACCAGAAATATGTCTGTCTGTACATTTTATTTCACAAGCCAGTAAATTTAGTTGGTCAAACAGCCGACCTGAAAAGCAGAGTCATGACCTTTTGTCCACCCCCACCTACCAAAGTCTCAGTTTTCACTTCCGAAAATTGTTAATAAAGTTTATTTTTCTTGTTATCAACCATCCAAGCAAGTTAAATAGTTAAGTAACATTAACTCCATGTTACCATCCAAGCAAGTTAAATAGTTAAGTAACATTAACTCCATGTTACCATCCAAGTAAGTTAAATAGTTAAGTAACATGAACTCCATGTT